ACCGCGTCGTATAACAAGTACTGCAGATCCTGTCCGCCCATCGCACAGGGTGCAAATTAGGTGACTTCTTATGACCATAAGACAAATGCCATTAAACAACTAGACATTCGAACAGGCTCAATAGAGATATTCCACAATATCCCGGCCTTTACGAAGCGCATTGTAGAATTCTATACAAATGAGATCTTTTCACTGCATGTAATCGAGTGAAGGTACAAGAGTGGGACATTACCTTCATGGGATGTAATCCTCGGAGAGTCAGGGAAAGATGTGGGATGCTGGAATCCAACCAGACCGGCAGTAATCTTGAATTCCAGATTAGTGATCTATCAATCCACAGCTTGGATAATTTAGCTCACTTGATAAAAGGCTATATCAGCCCTGACGAGTGTCTCTTTTTCTCGAATTCTTTCCATTAACTCCTGGAGTTGTGCTAATTTCGGCCACAAATGGTAATTTCGTAGGTCATTCCAGTTTAGGAGTGCTTTGCAGTTATAAAATTTGACTGAGCAGGAAGTAAGGGTATAATTCTGCGCGACCAGCCATGTAATCAAGTCGATATGAGCGAGTAGTAGATGTGTTGCATGGTCAACACATCGAGCATCGGAACGTGCCCTATCAATCAGATGGCCGTCACTCAATGCATTAGAGCTGTATTGTGACAAAACCTTTTGGACTTTGTTCGTATTCAGCTTATTGTTTCGAAGACAGGTTGAGATGGATTGTGTAACGTGCCCTACACTCTCCAAAAAATTGCTGGCTTCGAAGTCTGGAGTGGAGGTCATAGAAATAATACAGAGGCAATCCGCGGTCAGTAGACGTATAATGTGTGTGTGTGTGTGTGAAAGTTTTGAGGTGTTGGTGGGGTTGGGGTGATTTCAATGCGGGCCGTACATATTCAGTAGCGAAGACTTATTTTTGGGGTAGAAAATTTGCCGCCTTCTGGGCCTTGGTTCCCTTAATTAGACCTTGGAGCGATAAGGTCTAGATATGCCCAGACCAAGCTTCGCTCCCGATCCTGCGGCACCACGGATCATTTTTAATTTACCATGGTTCTAAGCAGTTCTTAATAGGGCGGATCCTCCCCGGCCACATAAAGGAATAGTATTGCGACGCGACGCTTGAGACTCGATGTGGCAAATTATTATGCATGTAGTCCATAAAAGCTCACTTGCTTTCAAGTTCCCGTCAAAGCAAATCAATTCGACTTTATTTTCTTTTACTTTCCATCTCTGCCTTTCAGTTTCTTCGATTTATGGCGGATTTGTGCAACGGGCGCCTCTTCTAGTCCAGTGCCCAAAACAAGGAACGGAGTGAAAGGGTTTACCACCGTACTTTTACACAAGGCTGAATTTAAGCGCTTGCTTGGAACCCATAATAATAATAATAATCATCATCATCATCATCATTTCAACCACCTTTTTGTTTTCTTTTGCGAGTCATACTGGGTAACTATCTGGGCCTTGGGTTGAGTTGTCCTGGGTGTGTTTTGGCGTCTACCAGTTCCAGGTGTATTGTTGTCTGACGTGTTACACTCGTCATCGTCATTTCCATTTGATAGGGATTTCAAAATACAGCCTATGCAAATTTGGAGCTGAAGCATCTGAAGGTATTCTAAGTCGCCACACAACTATGAAGTACAATACGTGCCTCTTGCCTAACGGGTAGCAAATCAATGCAATGCCATCATTTCGGGTAGGAGGGGGGAGGAGGAGGTTGGGCCTCCGAACGAAATCTGATTGGCTCATCTTCAAGGATCTCTATCCAAAATATGGGCCCGATTAGGATGACAATGCCGCTTCCGATGTCAGTAGGCTCTCCCACTATTCTCGTGAAGATACTTACTTTGCCCCAGCTAGTCAATCAAATTGGCAAAAAGATGGAGCAAATATATCTCCTTGGTGATTTATAGAAGACTGATGTTTTGACATGGGCTCGACTGGGAGGGTTTATCCGATAGCACGAATTTGGAGATTCTCAAGGGGTCTTTACATCCTGGAGGGGGCGTTATTCTTGCCACCGGTTTCTCTCTCCCCATGTCGAATTTGATGTGAGCTGCTCTTTTCATGCCCCCTAGGTATTCAGCCACTAAAGGACCTTCAGTCAGGATCGTTATCTAGAAAACACCGTCATTATGGAGATTGGCCAGCTCCGCAGGGTATGACTCCCGGTTGTAGCTGAGCAAGTGACAAGGCAGGCCGCAGCACTGGATCTACCCCATATATCTCGCTTCCAGGACAGTTCCTAGTTTTCCCTCAACGAAACATCAAAATTTGTTGTTCACTAGTCACTAGTGGTTCGTCGTCCTGGCATGATTGAAAATCCGCCTGACCACTACCTGTGTCCACGCAAACATATATATATCCATTGAAGAATACGAGCCTGCGCCCATATCTATTTTCTCTGGTACGGACTGATCCCGGACCCTCAGGTACATGGTCGAGCTGACACCTGCTGTCTCATCTCTAGTTTGCCCGTGTTCGAAGTCAAGCTACACTCATGGCAAGTATATGTAGCCCTCGGCCACTGGAAAGCATGCTGACGTGGGATGCATTGAACTTCAGCCTATTCTGGCCGTTTCCACAAATCCAATCGAGATACTGTATGATGGCTGGCATTGAGAATCTTATTGAGGCCGCTGGCACGGTGGTTGCGAACGATCACCTTGCGCCAACTGCTGATTATTGATGGTATATTGAGGATTACCAGCGGAAGACTGCTTAAGTCGTGTCCCAATGAAAACAGCGATTCAAAGCTGCCGCCATGACCTACTTGATAAATGAAGCTAGCAAAAGACGTTTTCACCACTTGGAAACTTTGGAAACTAACTAACCATGTTGCCAAATCGCAGATATGAAGATGACCGTTTTCCCAAACTATTCTATGCTCAATGCAGCCGCAAGCCGATCGAATGCCTCCTTCTCGATGTCACCACTGAGTGGCACGAACCTTAGGAGTGAAACTGTATGCGCATGTTCAGCTCAATCAGCTAATAAAAGAAGGTGGATCATGTTATTACCGAAAGGGCGTTCAAGAAGACGCACAGGTTACAAAGGATACGGATCTGTGAGGATTTAAGGAAAGCCGTTTGTGAATTAACGATTAGCGTTCGGATTGCAATGGCAAGGATAGGAGAAGTTGACACACACTAGACAATTATATCTGATAATATGGCCAGCTGTGACAAATGTCTGTGAGGGCTCGAAATTTTGGACATGTCGAATGAGGCCACCAACTTTTAACTGGAGGTGTATTATCACCGAGAGCGTTACAGTTCTGGGGGTAGTGGCGCTGGATCAATGGGTATTTCCTTCGAAGGATGATCAGGGTGGGACTGGTTTTGCTGCACGCAACAAAATGAGCCTGGCATGGTTGATCACTGGTGGTAAAGACCGTAGTGACACCAAAAGCAGCACAATCTCAACGGTGAAATAGATCAACAGGCCACAATCTGAGAGCTGGCTCTGTTGGGGAACCTTGATAATACCCAAGGGTGACTGCAGCTGTATAGGCAATAAGGCTAGCCACAACACTATCAATACTCGAGTCCAGGACTATCGCCACTACTCATCTCTGGGCGAAAGACATGATACCTTTCACCTCCAAATTGCCCGGTCCTTTGTACTGACTGACCGACTGAAAGTCTCTGGTCTTTTCACATCACTAGATAGCACAAAGGATTGTTGGATTTGCATTAGAATATGGGTTGGGCCTACATTAACCTGCTTTCTTTGGCCCAGACTCAACCTAGTCTCGCATACTTCGATGGCACTGGCACTTGCAAAATCGTCTCTAGCTTGTCTCAGCTTATTAGAGGTATATATTTTGCTACCTAGTCACTTGAAATGTGCATTGAGTACCATCCCCCGTTTCCGCTGTTCCCCAAGACTCCCGTCGACGGACCCTACCTCCTATCTACCTTCGGTTGGAAAGATAACACTCAGGCTGTGATAATGGGGGATCAGGAGGAGACCTCCCGTGCTACCATTATTCATGATAGACTGCACGGGCCATCAAGCGAGTAAGTGACTTGGACGTGCCGAAATGCAGCGCTGCGTGGTGATTGAAAGCCACACCGATAGCCAGCGCTTCACGAACCAGAGCTGACAAGTGTTGAAAATTTGCCATATATGAAGGCAATTATTCTATCACAAGCTATACGGTAGCCAGTGCTGCCAGAGGCCTTCGCAAGCAAACCTCCTCCACGTCTAAGGGTGAGGCATGGTTGTTCCTATTATCAATGAAAGCCATAATTCGCTAACCCATATACAGTTTGCTGTAGAATTTAGTCACTAAAATGGGACATGCACGATGGCAACCTGTAGAACAGCCGGGACTAGAACACACACACACACACACACACGCACACACACACACACACGCACACACACACACACATACACAACACGCCACCTAGTAGCAGCACACACGTAGCATGCTCTCTAGTAAGGAGGAGGGAATAGATGACATGAAGAAAATGGGAATGCGAAAAAGCCTTACACCGTTCGAAAGGTGCCATATATATGTAAGTTTCTAAACTGTGCTAACCGATGCTAAAGAATTGTTGTGATATGAGGCTGGTGCAGATCAGGAACCAAGCCGAACCATCGGAATTAATCCCGAGATATCTATACGAAGAACCAAGTTGATTGGGAATCAACTTGTTCTTGTTGTATACATATAGCCTAATGTTTCTCTCTGAACAATAAGATAATATATACCTCTGAACTACAACAAGAATGAATGCGATCATAGTTAATGCAAAATCAAACGCTGCCTTACCCATCAGGCATTACAAATGTCGGCATGTCCCCATTAAACTAGATATTTAAGGTTTCTAGCTTGCGGCTCGTTCAAGGCGAGCGGTTAGCCTTACGTCATCACTTTCTTCGAAATACATCATCGAGATAACCAGATGGACCAGTACATGACAGTATCTCTGAGAACATATCGCGACCAGGCCTCTCATAGTTCAGCCCTTTTATAAACTCACGTCTACGATGGTCCGACAACATCACGCTACCCTAGCCCATACCCATCAAACATCTGACAGGGTCGACGCTTGGATATTAGGGAGCAGTCTTGCGTCATTAGCGTCGGCAGTTCATTTAATTTCCGATGCCAATGTGCCCGCCTCTCATATCCATATACTCGAGTCACAAAGCACCCCTGGAGATGGCATAATCAGTAGTGGCAATCCATTGAACGGATACGATCATCGGCCAGGATGCTTGCCAAGTTTCAGTGACGTCTGCATGGAAAAGCTGCTTGCGTTGGTGCCCTCCCCCAGCGGCTCCGGAAGAACAGTCAAAGAGGATATCGAAAAGTTTTATGACGATGAACACTGCCAAGAAGTTCCTACCACGCACATCTTAACTAAAGGAGATCATGGACCGAAGAGAATCAAAATTGGAAAACTCGACCTGGGCCTGAAAGATCGAATGAAATTGACGATTCTCATGTTGCGATCCGAGGAAAGGCTGAACAAAAAGAGAATCGATCAGCTTTTTAGCAAACCCTTTTTCGACAGTGTGTTTTGGACTGTCTTCTCTACTATGTAGGCTGCCTACCGAATAATAATAAAACAAATTGATAGCACACATGCTAAAAAAAGCTTTTAGATTTACCTTCCAGCCGTGGCACAGTGCTGCCGAATTCCGTCGATGCCTTCGAAGATACTTCCACGAATTTCGAAACCTAAACACTAAGAGCCCCTTGGATAGCATTCAATTCAACCAATTTGAATCAATAATCATGCCGATAATCCAATTTCTCCAAAACCGAGGGGTTGATTTCCGACTATGCACCAAGGTCACTGATATTGTAACACATTCAGACCGTGGTGCAGAAACTGTTTCAGCGATTCATGTATTGCACAACAGTTCTCAGGAAACATTCCATGTCCGTCCCGATGATATCGTTATTGTCACTCTTGGATCCGTTACATCAGGCTCGTCGAGTGGTTCCAACAAAATTCCGCCACCTTTGAAGACAATGATAGCCGAAGATGAGCTAGATGAAAACTGGTCGCTTTGGCTGAATCTGGGAACAAAGTATCCGGGCTTTGGAGATCCGTACAATTTCTGCACTCGCCTCACTGAGTCTAGGCTGGAGACCTTTACGGTTACACTCAGGGATGCTGAGTACTTCGATCGCCTCGTTAAACTGACATGCGACAAGCCCGGAATAGGACACTTGGTATCTCTAAAACACAGTAATTGGAAGATCAGTATCTGCATACCTCGCCAGCCATTTTTCTCTTGTCAACCTGACAATGTACAAACCTTCTGGGGCTATGGACTTTGCCCAGAAAGTCAGGGAAACTTCGTGAAAAAGCCGATGCTCGTTTGTTCTGGAGAGGAAATAATGGTCGAGCTGCTACGGCACTTGGGTTTCCCTTTAGACACAATCCTTAAAAACTCCATCACAATCCCATCTGTGATGCCAAGAAGGACAGCATCACTATTGCCTCGAATTCGTGGAGATCGGCCAACGGTGATACTGGACGGCATGACCAATCTCGCTGCGATAGGCCAATTTGTGGAGATACCAGATGAGACCACTGTTAGTATGGATTATGGGGTACGAGGAGCCCAGTTAGCAGTTAGTCATTTGATGGACCTTCATAAACAACCAGAGGAGACAAAGAAAAGGTTAAGTTTTCTTTTCTTGGATTTCTGGGTTTGATGGACCTAACAAAAGATACAATTCTAACATCATTCTCTCAAAAAATACAGTAATGCCCTAGCGTAAGACTAGGGTGGTGGATATCCGGGTACCTATAAAGCTTTGAAACTGCTTGATAGTAGTAAACAAGTCATAATTTCGCTGCTGTACTGACGCAGCATACTATTTACTGAATGTCAGATGCTTTTGCTCAACATCAACTGAATATCTAAAGCGGTATTATTCGTCAACGCGTGATATAGCCATTCCCTGCTCCTCCCTTTAAGCTGAACTGTTACGCTCGATATCTTTTCTCTGATCTAAATGGCGTTTTCTTTCAGGACTCACGCTTTCCCCCCCTATAAAAATTCCCGATGGCATCCTTATCAACATTGCTGGTATTAGGGACCGTGGAATAAGGATGGGAAATGCTCTCGCAACGGGGATGAGCATCAGTTGCTTGAGTAGTGCCATCATCGGTCATTTAATGAGCGGTGGAAAGTGCGAGATCATCGGAGTCGAAATAGGTACGTTTCTTTTGACTGTCAGTTTGAATCCCCTCTGTGAAATTACAACAGAGTACCTTGGATCGTTGCCCAAGTAGATCGTCAAGAGTTCGCTTTTCATGTGTGCTGGGGTGGCATTTTTCACTTTCTGATAGTAGCTGGGGAATTTTGGTTAGCACTGTGAGTGAGGAAGAGTATGAAAAGTCTTACTACGCAACCTGGTTCTTTAATTCCTGATCCCATTTTTGAGCGATTATTGGTGCGTAATCTGAAGAATACCCAAAACTTTATATGCTCAGTCGTCTGTTTCATATTCGCCGCCACCAGCTATGCTCACGTGTTATATTCCAGGAGATCGTTGTTATCATGCTATCTACGTCTTTGAAACCATGCTGTCAGCGCATCGAGTGGTATTTTACCACTAGCAAGCGATTGATTGCCCAGGAAACCACATTTCTTTGTGTTTTGTATGTTGAATTGGTTCAACTAGCAACCTCGGTGTAATAACCACCGAGTATACGCCCATACGGGGGGTATTTCAACCTGCCCTCGATCACATCCTTATTTCGATTCAACCAATCAATCATTTTATCCTGAATTGGTTCCGCTTGATCTCATTCGTCCTGAGTGCATACTAGTCCATACGCTTTTAGCAAGTGCTGATAGATTATTAAACCTTATGGATGTGGCTGTAAAATCAATACACAATTAGGGCCTACGAACCCACGATTCCCATTACCCTCCCCCCAACACTGAGCTTGATAATGAAGTTTCAATTCTTCACGATAAACATTTAATATATATGGACGTCTTTCGCTTAACTGCCAGCTGCAATCGAATATATTCTTATTAAATCTCCGCACCAAGGCTTCAGAGGATGGATCTTCGGTACCTGACTTTCCTTTTCCGGTGGTCTGTTGAAGTCCAGAGAACCAGGTGGTGGGACGAAAGCCGGCTGAAACCTCTCGCTGAGTCCAAAGGAGCGTGCTAGTCGCTACCAGTAGAGAATGGCCTCTGTATTTTGATCATCTAGAAGCGTTTACCGAGAGCTTCCATGAGAATAATTGGCGTTACACAGTCACTGTATTGTCCTGTTTAATTTCTAATCCCCACGCGCGGTCGTCGCCGCGGCTAATCGTTCTTTGTTCTGAGTTGGTATCGACACCGATATTGCAATTGGTGTATATATTTGCGAACGGAGTGACAGTCGCGCTATGTGTGAAGTTTTGCATCTCAAAATGACCCGCGTAAGGCCGGGATCCGGACCCTTTGGTGGTCGATTGACCATTTCCATATTTATGAAGGCCGTGCTTCAATCCCTCGAGCCTCGGCTTGGTCGCATGCAAGAGAGCCCACATGAGAGGCCAGATCCATGGCACGTTGGTAACGAGGATTGCCACAGTGGCTTCGCGGAAGTACCAATTCATGTAAACGTAAGAGATGAGTGACGGAAATAAGCAGTACACCTTATTTAGATGGCGGCAACTACGACAAACGTACCCATGCCGAAGAGAATGAGTAAGATCAGTTTCTGCTTCAGTGGGACACGGACCTGCATAAGCAACGGAATGGCGAAAATAAGCATGGTGATTTCAGCGGAAATCGAAATACACCCCTGGATTATGTCGTCGTGCTGATAAGATGAACATTTGGTCTTGCGAAACTTCAGAGTTAAGTCTGTTTTCTAAGGGGCAAATATTTTCCCTTACAGTTAGGCTTGGGCACAGCCCAGTATTCGGACAGTGGGCGGCATATGAGGAGAAGTGAAAGTTCAGTAGCGATAAAGCCAAGTCCAACATAGAGGGTAACGTAGTTAATGATTCTGCGTTGCTTCAAACCGGCGGTGATTCGAGCATAGATCACTAGCATACACGCTTTGCAGCTCCAGACAGCAAGAACGAAAGCATGTTCTGACACAAAAACCCATCTTCTGACCCTCACCCGTTCTTGATGGATAGAGGGAGTCATGGAGTTCATTTCCGTTGTTATCATTAGGTTTTAGCCCCCTCCTTGGATGACTTTATTGAGGGCAACGCAAAGAACGGTATACCACACGAGACTGAAAGACATTATATAGTAATCTGCTTGAAGATTGCGAGTACCTGAACATTGAAACCGAGCAATGCTATGGAACGCTCTCAAGTCAGTTAATACTTCATTCACCTCAACCATGATAACGTACAACCTGAGGACAGCACCTAGGACCCCGATGGCACAGAGCGCCCATGTCTCACGAACAAAGTTATGAGAAAAGCCATATCCCACACCGGATAATTCTTTCGGATGCAAAGTAGGGACCTGTGAACGGATTCAAGTAGATCCAAAAAGCGATCAATAAGGAGATAATTGAAAGCTCCGGAGACTCGGCGACACGAACCATAAGAAGATAGCTCGAAACTGCGGCTACATTGTGGTGGGTATTGCGGGGAAAGAAGTTGTGCAGCGGATCTGGCGCCGGGGATCTTGCTAGGTGCGTATAAGAGGATGGCTTCCAGTGACTCCTCAAGCCAAACACATACAGCAAGTCAATGGAAGGTTTCCAGTGATGATGTCAGCATTGCCACTTGGCAAAGGTCCCGAGTAAAAAGCACTCCGGAGTGGGTCCGAGGGCATCTCGGAAAATATAACCGAAGTGCGCGTGTCCTGATAGGATGGGATCTTCGAGCCTGTCCTCAGACCGCTTCCCTAAAGTAAAGACGGTTTATGTTTATTACAATACTGATGTGAGGCGTCAACGAATGTATTTTACACGAAACTGCCATACGCGCACCATCTTGTCCCTCCCTCACCACCAATAACAAAGCATCACCCAGACTTCTTTTTACCCATGACCGTCTTTTATTTATTCTGAATTTTACAGTATCCAAAGTAAAACCTAAACTAAATGGATTTATACATTCTTCCTTAAAAACGAGACCTCATCCTTCGGGCTACAAGCTGCAGGATGTGGACTGTGCTGGGAATTTATTACCTCTGCGATGTGGCTAATAAGCTGGTGAAACCGTTCTATACTGTACCATCGAGCACCGGCTAGCTTGCCTAGCAGTCCCTTATCGGAAAATATAGATTCTCCTAGACTAGAAATGCTTGCTTGGTTCTTGCCCTTTGGTCCGTGGCTTGGTTGGGTTTTGTGGCGCTTTACTTTACCACGGATGGCTAAATTCTCACTGCGCCTGAACTCTTTTAATGGGAACCATGCAATCAAATCGTATGATGGTCTCAATCGCATGTATGCTGTCCGAAAACCCCACCTTTCGTCTAGTAGGAAGATGTCTACGCGGACACTCCTAACCAAGTGTGCCGCGGGTGAGGCAAATTACTAACCCCTCTTTCGCCCCGAGTTTCTAATCCAAAAGTTATATGGTCAATTGATCCCCTTAGTCTCAAAATATATCCTTTGATGCTTCTATATTCTTTCACCGATACGAGCATGATGACTCTTGCAATAGCAAGCAACTCCAAGCAACCTAAAGCCTCGCCCTCGAGCGATATGCCTTCTCTGTCCTGTATCACTCTCAAGAATATTCTATCTGACCAGTCGCCGAAGCCTTACACACTAAATGCTTTTATGATTTTCCTGACTCAGAATCATTGCATTGAGACATTGGACTTCATTACTGACGCAGAAGCTTACTGTGACATTTACCATGTGAACTCAGCATCTATCGACAATAACGACATGACTCGGGACCCCATGCTTGTCGGAAAGCAGTGGAAACGTTTAATGGCCACGTACATTTATCCCGGGTCTCCAAGTGAAATCAACTTACCAAGCTATATGCGTGACCGGTTACTTGGCATTGTTTCTGAGATGGTATCCTCTCCAAGTCCTGAACAATTAAGCTCTGCCATGAATCATGCCTACGAAATTCTGACAGAAGATGTATTGGTACCCTTCATCAGAAGTTTTCATTTGGCAGACAATCACCATATAGGTCCAGAATATATTCCAAAATCGACTTTATCCGATTCGGATATTGGTCGGACAGCAAACTCCTCGCGAAGGGATAATTTGTATGATAAATCCCTATAAACGTGAACCATACAGCCTCTAATTCCAGCTTCCAGATCTTCTATTGATGGGTCTATCACGAAACGGGTTGAGGATAGTCAGCTTCTTGAAGGTTCCCGGGTGAAGTCGCGATTTTCCAAAGATTTCAAGTTCAGGACATGGTTTAGTTTTCATAAGCGTCAGACCCCGTGACCTAGAACAGTATTGATGTCGATGTCGCCGACATAATCACTAGCTTTTTGTTCGGCGTTGTGTCTATTTCGCCCTTTTGGGGAATTCGCCAAGGGTTGAACCTACCAACACCAGAGAAAATGGGGGCGTAAACACAGACCAAAGGGTGGGAGAGATGCCGCACTCGCCTTTCTTTGTGGAAAACGACGGCCCACCTGGCTTGGATGGGTCCGCACGGCACATGGACACATCAGGCAGGTCATCTCTTCTCGGAAGGAGCAATTCTCCAACACGCCAACTGGTTCCCTGCGAGACGAACAATTCAGAAATTGCACCCGAGCCTATAGACTTAAATCTTCTGGACCCGGATATGAACCCAAGCCATCTTAGGTCAGAGAAGTCCTCCGGACGGAGATCACGCTACTCCCAGAGAGTCACAGAGCGAATCAGTGTTGGGAACGGTTCCTTCTCGCTGCTCGCCCGGGGCCGATCCAGAACTTGGAGATGCTAGCAGCGAATGCACCCAGATCTCGTTGGAAACAGTCTCACTTGAATGGAGTCAGGACAAAAGAGCAACAGGAGGGGAACTCAATCCAGACACTGCATCTCTACTCGGAATCGCTGCTCAGACATCTATCGATCCTGCAGCACAGCGACGATCTTCATCGGACACGGCAATCTTGCCAAAAGAAAGCGGTCTATCTAGGTCTGAAGAACTAGAGGCCTTCCTTAATGGCCTAAGGAGGGGTCTGGAGGAGCAAGAGCGGTTGGAAAAAGGAATGGAGGGCGAACAGCTCAACGAAGAGCTCAATCTGCTTCATCATCAGCCTCCGCCCGAGGAATCTCATTGACCAGAAAGTTTACAAATTTGGTCACTGTCAGCCTGTGGTGACCAGCCAGCGAAAGCAATACACAGAGACACCGACCACATACCAACACAGAGTGGTCGAACCAATAATCCCTAACCTCCAATGCAGGATGTGCGAGATTGACTACTCGAACGAGGTGAGTGGAATCCATCAGACTGTCTCCTCATAGACCGGTCGGATTCGTCACCCGTGGAGCGGGTCGCTCGAAAGTACTCATGCAAAGGCTATGCACTCTATGATGTGAACCTACACAGCCTCCGTACAGGCCACTGTTACCGTGCAGCCACAGCCGATGGCAGCAATGCCATTTTCTTGATTTCCGCGCACGAAGAGAACCAGCTCGCTGCCGACGGAAGATTTGGAAAGGAGAGACAGCTGATATCAATGGCTTCACGAGTTGTAGCTGGGGCAGTGACAAGATGAAGCAACCTTGACAGTCGTGGGTGTGGAACTGATCAGTCTTCATATGACTGATTCGTACGTGGGAAGAGGACTGGAATGAGAGTCCTGTTTTGAGAGAGTTCTCGTTCTGAGATGACCATCCTGAGATCCTCTTAATCTTAAAAAGCCCTGGTACTAATAAGGGCCACATAATACCATGATGGATTACCCATATTCTTCTTCGACGGAGAGGCGCTTTGTCTAGAATAGTATCGGTTAGCACTTTGCAATAGGTCTTGTCTCAACTACTGAACTCAATGTTTCGATTGAGCACTAGTCAGCACTAGTCAACACTTCAAACTGGAGCCGAGATCCCCGTATGATTATCACGCGGGATACGAACACATCTTCGCGTCCAAAGTAGCCCCGAAAACAGTTTCCAGATCGGATATTTCCTCCGACAAAGACTTGACCGGGCTAGCAAAGTGCACTAGAACATCATATCCGGACAATAATAAAATTTGGAACCTCGTCTCTCGCTCAGGAATGAAACTGAGCGAAGCAGGTACTTTGCGGGTCTTGAGGAAACAAATAGAGATATCAAAAAGCAATGCAGATAGCACAGTTCTGCTCCGTAGCGATAGCAGAAAACAACCTGAAAAAAGAGTCGTCAAAATGGGCAGATCCGTCACTGCGTATAGGCACTCACATACATGCAACTCAGACCTCGATCTCGCATGGAACCCTAACAAAAGAAAAAGGAAAAAAAAAGACGACGGCGACGACGTAAACATAATTCAACGTTTGATCGGCGAAACACACTGCCCATGACCAGTGAATAGATTTGAATGAGGTGGCCGCTGTTGTGCCACCTCGGAGCGATAAAGTACAGACCCATGTTGATGAATGTTGAAACACGTCGTCGGCGCTTTTCTGCGGACCGCCGGGAGTGTTGAAACAGTACCAACAGTGAGGAAGGGTTTTTCATATACTCAATCATCAAGAAGAAGCCGCAATGCCTCCGAATACAGCCTAGCATCAATGTGGAACTGTTGAACCATTTAGAGTTAGAGGATCGTCTGTGTTTGTGCCCTCACAATTCACAATGATCATTGCGTCAACGCAAGCAAAATGACAGGCTGCAATGCTATAAATATAATCCCTCGCCAGCGGAACAGTCATTCTCAAGCATTCTCTTGTCATGATGGAGCAAATAATATCGAACATTTCTCGACCTCGCTAGCTGCTCTTCTCCAGTATGGACTAACCCGACCCCGAACTGTGATGTACTTGTGATCTAACTGACCTGTTTTATCGCCCTATTCCGTCTATGCTCGCCACTGAAATCTGTAAACGGCAGGTAAGTTTAGTTTCCCAATAATTCGAGACCATGCTAACGTGGAAGATGTTTAATATCAGCTCCGTCTCTGTTCCTCTAGGAATTCAATCAAAGGAACTGGAATGGTCTCGATAATAAATCCAGGTTGCGAAGACAGTGAGTAATTAAGAGCCCCATAAGCTACCTACTGATGGTTTATCATAGATCGAAATCATCCACTACCAAACCGGCTCGACCAAACTCGAATGCCGTGCGCAGCAGTAGCTAGCGAAGTAAGTTTCGAGAGTATTTAGCCTGTGCTGACCACTCTCTGTATAGGAAGCCGATTGTTTTACCTTGAGCCAGCCCATGTCTTGTAAGTTGCCCCATGCGTTGCCACTGCCTATTCCCAACGCCCGGTACTGGATTTTCAATCTCAAAACAAACGCTATATATTTGTGGCTCTCCGTTCTTCGGAAAATATCGCTGATGTCTCTTTCTCGTCATAGGGCAAATGTCAATATTGCACTCGACATGACCGAGCTATATAGCCCCACCGTCCTTGAAACTTAGCCAGATGCACCAGCCTGATGGGCCAAGCTACTGGCTCCCAGTATGCTTGCGCCTTCGTTGTTTCTAAAGACTTTGTTGAAACGGCCACTTCGCCTGGCGTATTTAGCGGGTCCAATCCAGGAAGGCTTGATGCCGTCCGGTTAGCCATACGGTAACACTCCAAAAGTGTTTTCATCTCTTCAGCATTGCCCTGTCCGATCGAAGGTTAATTGTCATCGTATTAGGAACTTGCCGTGTTCCGACGGCTATGAACCTCTTGCTCCACGTCCTATCCGAAGCCTCGTCGGCAGCCATGAGCCGGTTCCACGCTAGACCGAGCGAGCCATCGCAGCATCCGACGACAACAAAGAGAAGCCTAGCATCGACGACCACCGAGAAATACCACGGTCTTTATAAAAGCAGAATCATCCAACGATGCATCAAATTACCGACCACGAGCTGAGGGCCAGCGCTGCCAAGCCTTGGTTGTAGCTGAGCAAGCGACAAGCCAGGCTGCAGCACTGGATCTACCCCAGATCTCTCGCCGCGAGAGCAGTCGTTTCAGGTCAGTTACTAGTTTACCCTAGACCAAATACCATGAATCTATCCTTCAGCGGTACTTTGTCCTGACACGGTTCAAGGATTACCTGTCACACGAACAGCAAAGACGAAACAGCTATGCATTGGCAAATATAGCCCACATTCATTCCCCGCGGTACGGAGTGATTCCGGGCCCTCGTACACGTGTGAGCGAGCTAAAGCCTGCTACCTCGTCTCTGATTTGTCCATCCTGATGCCAGACTATATTGACGGCAAGTCTGTAGCACCCTCATTCACCGGAAATCATGCTGATATCGGCAGTGAAACACAGCCCTGGTTCGGCCGTTCCCACGAGTTCGATCGGAATAGTGTATTGTGGCTGTTATTGGGAATCTCATCTAGGCCGTGAGTAAGGTAAGTTGTGAACACCCATCTTGCAACAGCTGCTGACAATTGATGCTAGATCGAGTATATCCAACGGCAAATTGCTTTGGCCGTGTCCCAATGCAGGTGGCGATTCAAAGCTGCCACCATGGCCTACTTGATAAAGAAGCTCGCAAGTACGCTGTCATCATTAAAATAGCTTGGAGGCCAACTAACCTTGTCTTGTCAGGTCGCTATGATGAAGATGACTATTTCCTCCCAAATGCGGCCACGAGCCGATCATGTTGTAGTTCAGAGGTATGAATTGATTGCTTATTTCAGAGGGAATACATGAGGTCATATATACAACGAGAAGACCAAGTTGATTGGAAACCAACTTGGTTCTTCTTATAGACACCTGGAATAATTTCTGATGCTGCGGCTTTGTTCCTGATCTGCACCGGCCTCATATCACAACACGAACATTTTGTTGGCACAACTACACACGGGCCACAATTGGTTATCCACTTACGCCAGGCTCTTCGGCTTCCGCGAAGATGATCAGTGCGTGTGCGGTGCGCAAAAGAAAAATTCACTCATGTACTGGTGGACGGCCCAATATTGAAGGAGTTACGAAGGGAACTAAGTTGAAGAGCTGGGGACGCGTTCAGTAGCGTGTTGAGTCTGCTGGGAGGCTCAAAACAAGGAGAGAAAGGTAAACCACACACCATCTCGATAGCGAAGACGGTCCATGACTTCGCCGAGGCGTCACAATGGTATCGCAGCCGCGCGCCACGAGGGCAGCCTAACGATGGGAGCGGCAATTAGGCCACGGTAGGCTTTGACGAGGCTGTAAGTTCGTTTTCAGGAAGTGGAGCACAACTACTTGCACGTAGACGGATATACTTAGAGGATCCAGTCATTATTTCGAAGTTCAGAGTTACATATATTCAATTCCATACCGTCTTGTGGCGAGATCCCGAGCCATTGAGGCGCGCCTCGAAGTGGAGGCCCAGGCGTTCGAGCGCCACCGTGAATGGTCGCGCCGCGAAGCCGAAGCCTACCACACCATCTTCCGGTACCTATCCCCCCAGATCAGCATCCATGTCGCGGGACTCGAGACGTCTCGCGACCTCTGGAATGAGCTCGAAGAACGGTACCGGCGGATGGAACTCGCCACGTTCTGCGAGCTGTTCGCCCAGCTTCGTGAAACCACCGGCGAGCGCTGCGGCAGTGCCCGCGAATTTGTCGATCGTGTACGGATGCTAGTGCACCGATTGAATGCGATCGCCCCTGGATCGATCGGCGACAAAGCCCATATTGCGATTCTGCTCACGCAGATCGGACCAGAATACATCCTGATCGTGGATGCGATCCAAAATGATAAAGATCCCGTCAACCCGGCGACTATTGGCAACCGTCTGGCGAATGCCGAGCAGACGGTGCAGCGGAAGGACGCTGCGATGTTCCCGCAGAGAGTCCCCAACGGAATGAGCAACCCTTCCATCAACACGGTGCAGAAAAACACCAAGAAATGCAATTACTGCAAGAAACGCGGCCACGTAGTTGCGGAATGCTGGAAGAAGCAACGCGAGCAACAACCGCCCAGGGACCATGCCCTGAAGGCAGAACGGAGTGCTTCCGGCTCACCAAGAAGCAATTTACGAAATATACCATCAATCCAGATGGAAGGTCGGCAGGGCCCGCCGACTTCCAAGAGACCGCGGACCAATATCGTGAGGGCGAGGGTGACGACCCTTTATACCCACGCACCGTCACTCCGGTGGATCTTGGACTCAGCCGCCACCAGCCACATCTGCTGAGATCGGAACTGCTTCAGCAGTTTGCGACCCCATCGCGAGATGTTGGACACGGCGGGCGATCCAGTGGAAGCTGAGGGCATGGGAACGGTGAAGCTCACGCTCCGGGGAAGTTCAACCAACCCCTGGTGCTGAAGAATGTGTACTTCGCACCACGCATCGGGATGAACCTGATCAGCGTGCCGAGATTATTGCGAGACCGCTACTCGGTGGTGGCACACCCGCAGAATGTCTTTGTGCAACGCCGAGGACGGACGGTGGGGACTGCTTACCATGCGGAGGAGGATCTACTGATCCTGCGGTGCCATGTGAGCAAGAGATCCCGAGAGCGAGTCCAACTGGCGAGGGCGCCGGCGACCCATAACCATGCAGATTCCCTGGAACCGCAGGCGGTGGCCATGGATGTCGACGACCCTCGAGAGTCAAGTGACGTAGAATGTACAGCGTCAACCTCTGAACTCGGTGGTGAAGGGATACTCGAAGCAGATGCGGGTACAGGAGCGGACCAGGCCTTCGGAGCGTTGTGGCACGCTCGGATGGGACATCTGATCTGGGGTGACTTGAGGGTGCCTCCGGCAGACCGGCACTCCGTACCGACCGCTGACGCAGGAGCAACTGCAGGCAACGCCGCCCGGCGTGCATATTGGGTAAGCAGCATCTGAAGAGGAACACTGAGCAAGACGGCCACGTCTGCACCAATCGAGAATCTTTGAAATGACCCATTCGGATATTATGAACTGCCATTAGCTATAGATGGTTCTAATTACGTGAGCTAAGGGTGCATACAAATAATCCCGTTGCGAGTATTTGTTCCTAAGCGGGGTGGGGCTATGAGATAGCACTAAGGCCGGAACGAAAACCGGATCTTCGTGCGAGTAACCCTCCCGTGGTTGAAAGCTCCGACCAATCAGCCGCTACGTACTTTCCAAGTTTCAAACATTTTTGCTGTCACACTTACATGTGTCTGCGTTCACGATTGCAGCCTTTTGTTGGAAAAACAAAAAGGGCGTTCCTTTCATTCAGCTTCACATATATTATGGATCGACCTAAAAGAGACGACTCCCGAACGCGTCAAGTGGTGGAGCGGTGGCGTGAGCAAGAGCATGAAAACAATTACTTTGGCTTTGATACTGTTACTCCATTGACGGACAAAAGATACAAGCCGCACCAAGAAACGGGAAATCATTCAAGACGTCAAAAGCAGGATATCGCGTGGCATTCGTCCACAAGCTTATATCCCGAGGAACCGGAATCCCGTGACTTACCAATGAGACTCAACCCGGAGTTCTACCGTCCTGATAGCGCTTTTCATTGCCAAACTGAAGAGAAAGACTGCAACACACCGGACCTTTGGGGATTCGATCCCGCCATTCCTTCCAAACAAGCACCTATCTACTCGGAGAAAAATTGGGCTCAATCTGGGTTTAACGAAGAAAAGCCTGCTGGGAAGACAACGGACAATGTGGTAAAATGATCTCAGATCCCTAGAAAATCTGAAACATTTAAAACGAATCGTGGACAACCGCCTGTGTCGCGCAGCAAACTCAATCACTCACTCTCACCAAATAGGCAGCTTTAACGAAAGCGGGGTTTCAGACATTTGCAATTCGAACGACGCCTTCACAGCATACGTTACCGGATGTTTTCTTTTGAAGCCAGCTTGATTTCGCGGCGACGATGTCTCGATGAATAGGAAGAAAGGCACAACAGCAACGACTAATGTTTTCGTGAAGCATGTGGATAACAGTTTAATGAAATTTGCACAAAAATTATGTCAATTTCAGCAACGAGAAGCATTTCTGAGGCCTCCATGTCGAGACATCCATTTCATGCGATCTACATAGCGAAAGTCAAGCTCTAGCTGAAGCGTTGTGCTACAATCTGCCATGTCTTTCCATGTAATTTTATGAATTATGCACTAAAACTAGCCACCGACCACAATAGATCTCCAATAAACCGAGGATTTACTGCAAGGCACGGCAACGTAATGCATTCTTCCGAGAGAGGAACCCCTACGATGAGGCTCTCGAGTCCTCTGCTTATGAAGTATTGCAGCTCCTAATGCAAAGCCCGGCACTGAAAATCAATCTCCAGAACCAGGAACAAGAAAGTGCGCTGTGGTACGCCATCACCTGTGAAACTTGTTCTACACTACGGAGCCTATTAAAAGTCCCAAACTTCATCGTGGATCTCCCCCACAAACGAGGGCAGACGGCACCCCACCTCGCGGTGTGGTGGGGCAAAATAGGGCTCGTGCAACTACTCCTCTCCAGCGGCAGTGATCGTTCGACTGTGGATGACTTCGGCAAGTCACCTGGCGCATGGGCATGGCGCATCGGCCAGTCGTCCATGAAGTGGTTCTTTGTAGGCTCACAAGAAGTCGAGCCCTCGCTCTCTTTCTACAGGCCATCCGCCGGCTATCAGACGACCGATGACAGTGAACAACCGCTCCACCGCCGTCGCCCATGGATCTGCAGACGCGGTCAAGCTCCTTCTGACGCAGAAGCATCTGGCCCCGAATGCTCAGGACCACAACGGGGACTACTCCACTCCACCTCGCCGTTCGATGTCGACGCCTGGAAGTGGTGGATTTGCTGCTGAGCCACCCGTGTGCCAGCATCAACTGTCGAGACAAAGACGGCAACACGCCGCTCTGGTTGTCGACATTCTCCTCGCGCGACGACATAACCGAGAAACTATTGGCTGCAAAAGACATTGATGTCAACTTTGTGGGTGGTCGCAGTCAGACCCAATCGCTTTCTACTTCTCTGCACCACTCGGTCGCAAGGAGTGACACAGTCGCTCTGCGATGGCTTCTCGAGATACCTGGCATCGACCTCAATCTCTGTGTGGCAGGCGTCTCTCCGTTTCCGCGGCGGCCGCGAACGGCAACACTCATACGATGGCGATGCTCTTGAGCAAGGGAGGCGTAGAGATCAATGCGACAGACTTGGCGGATTCTCCCCTTTGTCGAGCGGCGGAAAACGGCCACTTGGAAGCGGTAAGGCTCTTGGTGCGACAGGGCGAGTCTCTGGCAATTAACCAGAGCACCGTCGCCGCCCAAGACACCGCCCTGTGTATCGCCGCCCGGACAGGCAACTCGGAGATGGTGCGGGTTTTACTACGCCATCCCCAAGTTGATCTCAATTATCAGAATCGGTGGTTCGAGGATCCTTTGTTGCTTGCAGTAAAGGGGAGACATCTGCTGGTTGTTGACATGCTTCAGCAGAACCGGAGGTTGCGGCATGCCAATTTGTGGACATCGCTTCATTTTGCCGAGGAGGGTCCAATTCATGAGGCGATCCAGAAGCGGGTCAATGATCTCAGCAGCCGTCGCGAGGCAGGTACAGCCTCATCATCAAAATGGAGACTTGGTGTCTTGCTCAAATGTCAACAGAAGAATTGTAGAATAATCCAGCATGATGCTTTGAAGGGCCAACAGATATCTGAACCAGTGACGATGCGTGGATAATGGAGGATACACAAAGGTGGGATGATGAAAGGCCAACAACTTGATGCATTGAGAAGAAAGCCAACCTACATAAAGCGGTGGCGTTGATAGCTTGACGAGCACCAGGGGCCAACTATTGCCACGGAATTGTTCTATCCGCTTCGATTTTTTGAGCCACCCTGCTTTTGATTCTGATCTATGCGACACGTCAAATGCACCTTAATTGAAACATGCATCGAAATATAACGCCATTCCAGGCAAGAGTCTAGTACTTGCGGGAGTCCAAACTTTGTCGGGCTTCACATGCCTTCCCTTATGGTAGCATATAAAAACCCCTGCCGATACCCCTCATCCAGCCCATGCAACTCACTTCGTGAACGCAATGAACTCACCAGATCTTCCTCTATCGACCGAGCGACCTACAAAAAGGCAGCGTCGATTCTCCAAATACCCGGGGGATGACGCTACCGCCGACCTGCATGACCTGTTCCGAGAACCTCTGGGGGCTGCAAGTATTGAGTGCAAGGTTAGGGTCTTCTAGTAAGAAAGTTAGAGCCTAATTAATGGGTAATAGAATACCACTGGCACTGCCGGCCGTTTGACGACGGAGGTCAAGCAGATCCTACGCCTGGGCTCATCTGTCGCGAAGCCAGCTCTCGACCTGCTCGACTTGTTCCTGTGTCTTTGGCAATGTTATGTTGTCAAATCTGCCGGGAGAATCCGACTCGAGAACGAGCGACGCCAACTTGGGCTGTCAAACGAGGAACTAGAAGCTGAAAATGGTCTTCTCCTGCAGCGTTGTAATGAGCAGGCGCTGGTACTGTGGGACCGTTGGCGGGCAGCTCACACTGTTCAGGACGGAGTCATCTCAGTGTTACGGACGTGTGATCGGAATCCTGACCATATGTATTGTCCTTGAAGCATCAACTAACATTGGTGAATGTGCATGAAGGGGAGGGTGCTGGATGATCATCCGTTACGATCAACGGGGATGACTGGTGAGACGTCGATGCAGCCAAGAGTTAATTCCCGTTTAGCTTGTGACTATCCATACTTTTCTACAGTAAGATCATTTTGATGTATCAATCGACCTTTGATTAATACAATGTCTGGCTTTGATAAGAAGATTAAATTGGCCTATTGTTCGCTCCATTTCCAGCCCACAAGTTCGTCGACCTAACACCAATGAACCAGTTCTGTTCTCTCCAACTCCTAGAACTACCGACGTCCGAGGAAATGAATGATTTGGCCCAAATTAGTTCGTAAAGTACAGTTCACACCACCCATAAACTCATACTTACCGTCATATAGACTGTATTTCCGATATCGACATCCACGCAGCCTGGCAAGAGTCTTCCAACGTACCCGCTGTACCCCCCCTGCCTTGCTACCGACCGCAGCCATGCGAGGCAGGCTTCTATAAATTTATCAGATGTCCCCTCCTCTGGTCTTTACGGGCTATCTTTGGTCGACTGTGTATTTTATCCGAATCACGAAAGCCAGCAAAGCTTTCCGTGGACAGGCCCAGATCCTCTGTCTCCGTCTACCAAGGCGGAGGATATTTTTCGTGTGCTTTTCCGCCTGCTTGCTATCAGAGGAAATCTACTGGGTGGAATTTCGTCTTTCAAAATTTGACTCGCTCAGCGATGAGTTGATCGGTGAGCACCTCTTTTTCCTGCCACGAATCGAGACAGCGATGGGAAATCTGTCTCGGGTTCGCGAGCAGATGCTCAACATAATCTCCCAAGCCTGCTCTGCAGCGCAAGCTGCCCGCTTCCGACTGTCCATGTGGCCCCGCTTGGAACCCCTTCCCTACACTCAGCACTTCATGATGTCACCGCAGTCCACTCTGCCTGCATTGTCCTGCCTCGATCCGGGGTTTTTCGTCATTAACCTCCGCTGGAATTTCAGGTAGACCTGGGAGCTGAACTGGAGAAACAGAATCGGAAATGCAACGAGTATTCTCAGGCAAGTAGTATGTAGCAGATACTAGTGCCGAGCTACTCACTTTGCCAAATGAACTGTTTGAATTCTAATACCAATTGTGAGGCTAAATAGTGCCGAGAAAGACCGCCACGAACAGATTAGATGATGAGCTTTATTCTTTAGGACCCTTGTCACTAGGACTCCACATTTGGTACGTCAATTAAACAAAATTCCATCGTTTCTGTCTCACGGGCCGACTGGACGCCACTTGACCATGTCGACCAACACAAATGAACCCTTTCCCCCAAACTAACTCCCATCAACCACCTCGTGACCGAGACGGTAGGCGCGCTTCAACTGCCGAGGATAGCATGTTGAAAACTTGAAGAAGTTCCTTCAAGCCAATCTACTAACAAAATACTAACCCACGAGGACCCGCTACGATATTGACAGCTGAGATGACATATACAGAAAAGACCCATGTAAGGGCTCTAGGGAGATACGGCATGTACCATGACATGTATTGGTGGATCAGTGATAGTTGCCCTTTCGGCTTAGCCGCCAGGCGTTAATGAATTGTGTGTGTGTGTGTGTGTGTGTTGATAAATTGAAGCTCCGGGTAATTCTTTTGTTCTATTACGATTTACTTTGCTTTATTCTCTAAAATGTGACCACCGAATAAACCAGCTAAAGGGAACTCGTGGAGGCGTAGCCAGTGGGACAGGTTTTCCGTCAATACCATCCAACCATTAAATTTCATCAAATTGAAGTGCAGAAAGGGTGCTTATAAGTAGAGCAAAGGGCTGATAACCTCTCTATAAGAACGGAGCGGAAATCTGGAGCAATACTCAATGCATTCACCCGAGAAACAGAAACGGAGGAAGAGGTGGAAGCCCACTCCCAGAAACAACTATAGGATCGCCGCATAATCTATGCACCACCACATGGGTGCCAAAGTGTTCCTTGACGAAGTGAGAAACGAGGTGTAACCGAAAGGGCAGTGCAAGACCCCCAATCAATTGGAACTATAGAATCAGAGGGAACTAGGTATATCTGACAGATAGGATAGGGGATACAAGTAAATCCAGGGGAAATGGATCATAATGGGCAACAGATGCTATGACGTCTGCACTGCATAGTATTCGACATGTAAGCTGCATATGCAGCCCATTTTGCAAGGGATCGGTATGCTGTACAACATAGGTAGTGCTGTGTGCATAATGTGGTACGTTGCACCTCAACATTGTTATCTATTATTAGATGGCAGCTTTCCCGTAAATGAACAAGCAACTTGTGCCTAACTATGTAGGTACATATAAGACCTTCAAGGGTCATATTGCTCGTGAGTATCAGATTGAGGCGAATTATTTCATGTAGCTAGATGTATCGTCTATTCTCGATCCTTCTCGGCCCACCGTTCCAGCAGACCATCCCGTATCTTGTTTGCGACCACAAACCCTTTGCAGAAGACTAGGTTGAGCAGATTCAGAATTTCGAATTGTTGATCGACCGTCCGGGCTCGAGCTCCTGCAACAGTTACTGGGAAAAATAGCATCACTCCTGGGATCTTGGAGTGGCGCAACACCTCTCCCGAGAGATACAGGATCGAACTCAGGTGTTCAGAAACTTCAGCAGGGGATAACACCGGGGCTGGGATATTGTCCCAGTAGGTGAAATAGTCATAGTTGCCAGAAAGGAAGATTAGTAGCGCGTGATAATATAGCAAAGCTAATTTTGAATATTCATTAGGACCACCCTGGACCAGCTGCAGCAGCGTCTTCGTGTACCAGTTATAGATATTTCCTTGGACATCGAGACCCTCAGCCGCAATCAGAGCAACTGATGGATCCGTGAAACGTTCTTCTTCAGGAATCTTATCAATTATAGCACCGGCTCTGTCATTCGAATTGTTAAAATAGAAGAAGTCGCTCATTTGTTATTGCTGACTTACCGTAGGGTGAAGGCGGATGCCTGAATCATGAGCGTTATAATCTCTTCCAAGGGCTCCCAGCGAGTGGCATTTCTCGACAAGCTGTTTTGGAGTCGAAGCCAGCATTCCTGAGAAAGGATTGTTTCTTCATCGAAGAGTAATGCTCGACTGGCTTCGAGAATACGAAACAGGTCGTAGAATATTCTTCTGGCCGATGACATGCAATCACTTGGTCCTGCAAGCTGGAGCATTTTTGATGTTCCATAGAGCATGTGCTTAACCCAGCCTTGGCCCGAATCGTCTGAAAGCAACTAGGTGTATCGATGTCAGTCAACCCCGATTTAATGCACCCGATAGAGGATACCCTTTCTGATAAAAAGCATACCTCAAACAGCCCTAGGAAAAATGTGGCCCAGAGAACGTCCTCTCTTTGCATCACATTACTTCTCCCGACACAGCACCGCAAAATACCAATTGACTTATGGTAAGAGGTCATGGCATCCACATAGGGGGGGTCTCTCTCCCTGTAATGCTCGTCCACCGGTATGTCGGTTCGCATCTAAAGCACCAACCGCAATCACTGCATGATACAGGAGCGGGGAAGTCGAAATTAGAGGAAGCAAGTCCGGAACTATCGATGAGAAGCCCATCGTGAACATGTTCTGCTGAATAAAAGAAACAAAATAATCAAAAAGGCGGGTACCCTTATCCTTCCCGATAAAATCGAGTGGGTGAATCCCTGAGGTATGTTTATTTTTAATAGTCATGCCCTTTTGATCAGAACTTCGGTGGGCGCCACCAAAATCATCTTGCTGGGTTTGGTTGACAAACACAGTCATACCGTGGCCCGATTGCTCCTGGGCAATGCACATCGTGTTTTGTCGAACGCAACGAGCACATGGAAATCCCCCTTCACACTACTAAATATTAGCTGCTCGGATCCCATATAATTTATGCTTCACAATTCAGACCTTGATGCGTCGTTTCGCACAGCTGAGGCAGCGCGTCATCCGCCTTCGCTTGTCCAGCGGGCCGACCATTCTCCCCTGCAACGTTGCAGATGTGGACATGACCTTGGAGAATTCTCTAACAAACACTTCAAGCGTATATTCCCGATGACCACTACGATGAAAATGGACATATTCGAGCGAGACCTGGTCCGGCAGCAGCCTGCGACGTGGCTGATGGCGCTAGCCCAATTAAGAATCAATGTCGCGACACGAATGGCGCTAGCCCAATTGGGAACTAATGTCGCGAGACAAGGATCGACATTACTTGAACATTACTTGTTTGTGACAGGATGAGGAATTGAGGTACTGACTAGTACTGAACATGTCCAATAGAACCAGATGATTGATTGCAGGTGTTGAGATCGGTTGAATGATCTCAGGGGTCTCTATATTCGAACTATGGCGTGTTATGACACCATACTAGAAGGAAATTGGGTGAACGATGAATAAGCCTATCCCGAAGGGTCCTAGTGGTATTTGACCACTCCTTCAAGTTGTCAGTTTGTCCCCGATGACCGCTACCATGAAAATGGATATATTCCAGCGGGCCCTACTCCAACATCAGGCTGCAATTTGGTAGATGGCACTAACCCCAATTAGAAAGTAATATCGCGACGCACCGATGCACATTGCTTCAGCAATTCTGGATAGTTCTTGGTGACTGACTTAAATCTGATCAACTAACGCTCTATCCTTTCCATTTTGGGAACCTCATTTACGTTGGCAGAGAGAAATTTGTATTCGTGAGTTGCTACGGGTGCTTTACTGATGTATAAAGGTCGGGGCGGTCCTCTGACTATTGTGCTTGAATCTCATTATCTACATCAGCAAGATTTCAAAGACTTTACTCTAATCCTACTTTTCTCCTGGGCTGTATATTTTGGTGATTGAGAATGTTTCAGATTCTTCGCCTTCTGCCCATTGTGGCCATGTCTGTCTCTGCAGTGGTGATCCCCAACCCACTCGGACAATACGATGTGTTTTACCACACGGCCAAAATGGTCGAAAAGACCAGAGTCGATCCCTTTGATCCCAAGCACGGTCCGCGTGTAGTCATGACTTCAATATTTGCTCCCACCCACTGCAAAGTCGCTCTCAAGAAGAAAGACTACCTGCCCCCCGCAACAGCCGAATACTACTCTGAACTATACGGCGCATACGGACTTCCCAACGGTTCGCTTCAATCCATCTCTTTCCAGGCATGCCCAGAGCCGCCACGAGGCCATCACCTCCATTTTCCGGTGGTGATCTTCTCGCCTGCTCTCGGCACGACACGCCTGTTCTACAATGCCATTGCGCAGGCTGTGGCCAGCGCCGGGTACATCGTGGTGTCTCTTGACCATCCCTATGATACCGAGTTTCTGGAGTTCCCAGACGGAAGCATCGTGACTGCAGCAAACATCAGTGACGCGCAGGTTCCACTAGATGTCGAAACCAGAGCTCAGGATGTGAGGTTCGTGCTGGATCAGCTGGGCACAAAGGCTGGCGTCGCAGCCCTACTCCCTGGAACAGGGGCTGCGGGATTGAGAACTCGGCACGTTGCGATGTATGGTCACTCAGTCGGGGGTGCAGCTACCGCCGCAGCCATGCATCTGGACCGTCGGATTGTTGCAGGTGCAAACCTGGACGGGTCAATGTTCGGACCGGTGGTTCAAAAAGGCCTTCAGGGACCATTCCTCCTATTCGGACATGAAAACAAGACCCAGAGGACAGACTCAACGTGGAAAGAGTTTTGGTCAAATCTGCAGGGTGGAAATTAGAGCTGGAAGTCGCCAAGATTCAACACTACGCATTCTCCGACTTGCCGTTTCTATTGAAGCTCCTGCGTCTGCCTGTTGAGCAGATACCGGCCATTCAAATGATGGTTGGAACTTTAGACGGAGCCAAGGGATTTGAAATTGTTCACCGAAACGTCGCTGCCTTCTTAGGCTTTGGGCTTGGCCAAACCTCGCAGTGTCCGCTTCAAGAGACAATCTCGGAGTATTCGGAGATATCGGTCTTTGCGCGCAGTAAATGAGAAAATACTTGGGACAACAGATTGGATATATGACCAATTAGTGCCGTGAGTGGCCCACCTGCACACAGGCCTTCGGTTGAATGATTGATTAATATTTAATGTGAGGGTCTCACGTATCTGTGGATGAGTAGCGTGTCTTTCGGATGTATAGTCAATATTAAAGAAAGCTACAGTCGACTCTAGATACAAAGGCGGTCCAGAAGTCTGGCTACACACGCTAATTATTTAGCGCGTTTTTTCGCGTCCACCCCCCCAACCTCTCCTTTTCAAACACCTAATACACCACCAATATGCGTCAATTTGGTACCGAAATAAGTGCTAATCGAAGGCCTGGGGCAGAGCTTTCATCTGAAGCCCGCGCCGCTATCATATTTGCACGTGAATGTGGTGTATCGCCTACTAAAATCGCTTCCGATATAGGCGTTGCGCGGTGTACGATGGAACATATCATGAACGGTAAAGCTGAGATGAAGCAACAGCTCCTGGAACATATCAGTCCATTTGCTAGTCAAGAACAGCTAGACAGCGCCCTAAGATATACAAAACAATTGAACGCTTTCAACAACAACACAACACAAAATCAAGGCCTTGCTCAGGTACCCCTAGGACATTTGACCTCTCAACACTTAAATATACTGTTCTTCTAGCGCGTCGGGAGCCCTGGAAAAGCCTCAGTGAGCTTAGTGCTACGATACCCGGTCATCCATCTCGATCAACAATTAAGCGATTCCTCCGCCATAAAAGTCTTCGGAGATTTAGGGCGCGCCGTTGTATACCTATTTCAGAGGTAGTTGCTCGAAAGCGAAAGAAATTTTGTCCAACTTGGCGCCGTGAGGCCCTTAATTCCCGCCTCGAAGACTTCATCTTTTCTGACGAATGCAGCGTCCAACGTATTCCGAATTTAAACGGCCAATATGTTACACGCCTTGAAGGAGAAGCATATCGGCGGGGACTTGTGCTTGTTAAGCCTCATGTAAAGGACATTAGTCAAATGGTTTGGGCTGGTATCTGGCTTGGGGGGCGTACAAATCTTATGATCATGGAGCGTGACTTTTCAGAGAATCAAAATGGGGGCTATACAACCCAATCATACATTGATGTCTTAGAAAAAGGTTTTATTCAACACTACGAACCTGGAATTATCTTTCAGCAAGATAACGACAAAATCCATCGTTCATATAGGGCGCAAGAGTGGTTTGAACGTCACGGTATTGAGGTGTTAGATTGGCCTGCACATTCGCCCGATCTAAGCCCTATTGAACCCGTGTGGCGTATGCTCAAACGCAAATTATATGAGCTATACCCTAATCTTTTGAATTGCGGCACCTCTGATGCTGATTGGAAGCTATTCAAAAAGGCGATAATTGAGGCGTGGGATGCCCTAGATCAAAATAAAATTGATAGCTTAATTAGATCGACGTATGCGCGTGTATGCCTCATGTATATCCCTGACATGCGTAGTTGGGACTTTGCGCAGCTCCTGAGGCCCAGACAATCTCTATGCTTGAGCAGGAATCGCCAAAACGAGGGTTGATCGGATTTTCAAAGATGCGCCGAAATTGTTCTTTTCGGAGCATTTGTTCTCATGACATTATTCTGTCACCCTGATATGCAATGTCGACGCTTATGCTCTGCCTACCTATGTTTACAGAAGATTAAGAATGTACTGTAAAACGCGACTCACAACACCACTGTGCAATCCTCAATTTTGTACAAGTCTCAATTATTCCCCAACAGAGGAATCTAAGATTTCATGCTCAAGAGCTCCCATCGACGCGAAAACGCTTTCGTGGGGGGGGGCCTGCACGGATTTGCTGTCTGTTTTCGGATTGAAAAAGAGTCTTGGACCTGCTGCAGATAAGCAAGAAAGGCAAGAAAATCGTCAAAGTCCTCCCAGTTTTTATTGGCCCTTGAACGGATTTCCGGGAGCACCCGGTCCCACAGATGCCGCAGACGGTTATGCGTCGCGCCGAAGTTGGGTGGAGCCCAACGGAGTAGCTCCAGCGCGAAGGTGCACACAGATTGGTTGACCCTTTGGTAGGTATTAGTGTACTTGAAGTTTCCTGCGCCTTCGGAAGGAATTTGGTCAACGAGGAAAACACAGAATGCGAACCAGGTTGCTGTTCTAAGATGGGCGGCATGCTCGTCCCATTTTCCAAGCAATACACGCGAGAGGTTGTCCCTGCCAATCTTGATTTTGCGAGCTTCGTTGAAGTGGCTTCCGTACTGGTCGAAGTAATCCTGCAATTTAGACATGAAAGTTTTGCATTCCCGCCAGCTGCGTGCCGAGTAGAGCCGCAGGTCCCCAGGAGCCGGCATTTCTGGTGATAGTCGGCATTCGAATTGACTACGCAGCTGTGTAGGCGGTTCTGATGACAAAATTTCTTTGGGTTTCCGTTCAGCTTCATTCATATTCAGCGAGACCAAAATCTCGTCAGTCGAGGCGGTACTATTATTCCGTTTTGCGAGAAATTTCGCTCGGGACGGAGTGGAGTTTTCGACTTCCTGCAGATACATAGCAAAGGAATTGTAATCCGAAAACTGCACGTATGACTTTTGCGCATGAGCACGAATATCGGGGAGAACTCCTCTCAGCAAATAGGCCATAAATTCATTGCTGCTGATGTCCGGAGTGACAGGTGCCCATTGGATTAGCCAGAGAGCAAAATGAGTGACAGGCTGGGCAATTTTCTGGGAGGCGCTTGCAATTCCCTCAAGGGCTTGCCTGTGGTTTGCGTATCGTGAGAGCTGCTGAGCTAGGAATGTACAGTATAACATCCATGATGTGTTTCCAGACGCTATTATGTGATTGTGCCACTTATCCATCAGTACGGACGAGATGTATTTTGCACCTAGCTCCACTTTGCGAGCCTCGGTGTAGTAGTTGGGGTAACGGGCGAAGTGGGCTTCCATGGTATTAATATAGTGTACGCACTCAGCCCATCTTCTTCCTCGGTAGCTTCCAAATTCAAGAGCTGGCGGAATTGGCGGAGTAGCTATTCGACGCACAGTTGTAGATTGGATGAATGGCCACGGCACATCGGGTTGGATGCTTGTCCGATGTTGAGGAGGGACTGCGTCTGTTGCTTCCTCGGGTTCGTGCCCGCTTTCAGAGAGAAGCGTCATCTTTTTTTCATTGTTCTCCTTTTCATAAGGCCCTATGTAGAGAGGGTGTTCCAGGGAAGCAGATCCAGGGGCTACGTTGTTGCCCCAGATCGCCGGAGCTGGTGACTCCCGTTTCACTTCCCCGTTGACCATCCGTGCTTGGGTAGGGGCAGAAGTTGCAGCCGCGTGCTCTGATATATGGAACTGGTGAGCTGCCGGAAGATAATCCTCTAGTTGAACCCGCTCATTATTTGCAGGCGTGTGACCATTGGCAGGTGTGTCGTTATCGGCAAACGTTTGATTATTTTCAAGTGCATTGTTATTTCTCGGTGCCATATTCTCGCCGGAAGGGTTCAGGACAGATTTCATGAACGCATCCACAGCGCTGCTGGTGTCTTGGCCGGGGCAACGGAGAACGCTGTCGATTCCGAGATGACAGGTGGATTTGGAACGACAGACGATCTAGGAACCACCGACGATTGGTGACTAACCGAAGCCAAAGCGTCGGGGCCCACAGTTCGTCGAGCGTTGTCGAGGCGTTCTTGCGCTTCTTGCAGCCATTTCCTCTCCTCCGCGATTTGTGCCTGCAGCTCTATGAGCCGTCTGCGCTTCCGCATCCTTTCCAGATTTTTGGAAAACTGGTGGATTTCCTCATCGAGTTCAGAATCCCCATTGTCGTCGTCGCTCATCGTGTAGGTTATTTGGTTCCCGTGGTGGTGTGCTAAATGAGAGTGTCAGGGGTAGAATGACGCAACATGAGTTTTTTACCGCCTATCACACCGCACCGCCTACCGCTGCACTCAAAACACCGCTGTTCTTGGGGTCTCGACTCTCAACAGACGCACGCTCCTATCCGTGCCAGTGCCTCCACCGCTAAGTACAATTCACACCGATAATGCAATATTCTCCATTCCCCATCTTCTTGACGTTGGTCTCATCCACCCAGTATTCCTGGATCGAGCGGAGAATGTAATCGATTAGTAATCGAGGTCTGAAGCGGCCAACCTGGAATAGGGCTGTTGACGATATTGCCAATATACCGATATTGGCGATACGATATCGACAGACGATACGATATCGGCTGCTTTTGAATTTGTCGATGCCGATTGCCGGTACGATATCGGCGGGCTTCAAATTTGACGATATCACCACCCACGATATCGTTATATCGTATCGGCATCGGCACATTTTTCCTTTAAATCATCTAGAGAGCGAGCGTGCTTTGATCGAACAGCCGTTTTATTTGACAATTTATGAATGCAAAACCGGGGCATCGCGACGGCATAATTTTACCAACTCCGACCCTTGACTGCTACCACTTATACCCGTCGCGAATCAACATCAGCATTCTTATGGTATCACCTTTCAAAGAATATCTCCGGATGCCTAGCAGATCCCTCGCTGTGCTAAACACTCTCTCAACAGCAACTTCGGTACATCGTGTTTCTTGGAGACAAGTCTTGGGATCATCGCAAAGGGAAATTCTCTATTCACCGCCTTATTGCCGGCCTGGCAGGCGGTCCGGGATGATCACCCGGAGACGAACCGGCAAAAGGGATTAACGAAAAAAGATCGCAGCACGAGTGCTTGAGTGGTACTTTCGAGATTTGTGATATTTCGGAGGAAGTTTACATGGAAATATTCAACGCGACACTCAAAAATGCCGCATCTGTCCATCATTTCCTGCTTGCTCGCCCTCCATTTGAGGTCGGCCCGACCATGCTAATCGATGGCGAATATATCTCCGGGAACCAGCGTTATTTACAGGGCTCAGGAATAGACTTTTTTTCGGACTGGTAGAAGCTCATGTTTATGAAAGTTGACACGATGCGTTGTTGGTGTTTTGATTTGGTAGCTGCGTCACGAACGTTGAAGCGACGTTGAAATCCTGGAATACGACTTCAGAATAGTTTTTTCATCGAGATGAAAACTGCGGTTCCAATCAAACTAGCATATAATCAATCGTGAAACGGTTCAACGGGCCATGATATGAGGGCCAACTCGGTCGGACCCTCGATCACAGCTGCGCGAGCGACAACGCGCCTGCAGCACTATAAATATGTCCCCCAGACCCCAGCACAACGGTCTCTTCGCAAAAATGTCCCAGTCAGCCCAGCCTAAGACATGAGCAGTTTCTCTTCCCCCTTGACCGTCTTTTGTACTGGTGCGATTGAACATATCGAGTCTGGCGTATGCCTTGTTCCAGGGCGAGATGGCACCCAGTAGCACGGCTCTGCTTCGGACTATGGCCAGCACCTTGGGCCTTCTTTCTGTGGTACGGAGCCTGATCTCTCATACTTGTGATTGAACTGACGCTCACAGCACCGCCTCTAGCTTGTCTATGCTTGATGGGGATACGCTCATGGAAGGTATGTACATCAACCCTAGCACTTGATACCATGCTGACGGGAATATTCCTTGAGAATGGTGAAACCACTTTCCCGGAGTCGATTGGGCATGTCGGTCAAAGTCAGTAACCGGCGGTATTGAAATTGATGGTCATCGCGGACCTGCCGCACCAGACGCATGCAACGGAGGGCACAAGGCAGTGGTTGCCCTGACGCGTCACAGCGCGCCACGTACATTGACACGCCCACAATGAAAGAAACATGAGCGGCTACGTCAATAAGCAGGCCATCTCCGTCTTGCATTAAAAACTAGCCATATACCTCTTGAATCGTTAATGGGAAATTGTGACAGCTGAAGCAAACCATCAGCCAGGTGCTTTGCGAGGCTGCTTCGGCTGGCGATTCTGTGGCGTTCGGTGGTAACATCGATGAGGGAGCATCCGATCGGCTCGTGGCCGCATTTGGGAGGAAACAGTCATCTTCATCATATTGACCTGACAACATGGTTAGTTGGCCTCCAAACTATCTTAGTGATGACAGCGTACTTGCCAGCTTCTTTATCAAGTAGGCCACGGTGGCAGTTATGAATCGCCCTCTGCATTGGACACGGCCAAAGCAATTTGCCGTTGGATACACTCGATCTGGTACCAATTATCAGCCGCTGGCGCAAGATGGGTGTTCGCAACTTGCCTTGCTCGTGGCCTTAATGAGATTCCTAATAACAGCCCCAATACACTATTCCGATCGAACTCGTGGGAACGGCCGAACGAGGGCTGTCGTTCACTGCCTCTCCATATTAGCATGATTTCTGGTGACTGAAGGTGGTACAGACCTGCCGTCAATGAAGTCTGGCATCGAGCATAGGCAAGCCAACGACGAGGTGACAGGCGTCAGATCGACCACACGTGCACGAGGGACCGGGATCACTCCGTATCGCAGGGAATGGAAGTGGGCCATATCTTCCAATGCATAGCCGTTTCGTACTTGCTGTTCGTGCGCCAGGCAAATATTCAAACGTGTCAGGACAAAGTACCACTGGAAGAGAGATTCGTGCTATTTGGTCTAGGGTAAACTTGGAACTGACCTGAAACGACTGCTCTCGCGGCGGGATGTCTGGGGTAAATCAGTGCTGTGGCCTGCTTCGCCACTTGCTCAGTTGCAACCGGGTCTGAGAGAGCTTTCCATCAGACGGTAGCAAGAAGCTCAATTTCTTACTGTTTGATATTAGCCTCGGAGAGACAATGGTCTTATTCGATGACCGTCGATGCTCGACTTCTCTTCGTTGTCGCTGGATGCTGCGATGGCTCGCTCAATCAAGCGTGGATATGGCTCATGGCTACCAACAAGCCTTCAGATCGGATGTGGGACAGGAGGTTTATAACCATCGGAGTACGGCAAGTTCCTAATGCAGTGACAGTTAACCTTGGATCGGACAATGTAATACTGGAGAGATGGAAGCAATTTGGAATGTTACCGTATGGCTAACCAGAGGGCATCAAGCCTTTCTGAATTGGGCCCGCTAAATACGCCAGGCGAAGTGGCCGTGTCAACTACGTTTTCAGAAACAACGAAGGCGCAAGCATACTGGGAGTCAGTGGCTTGGCCCAGCAGGCTGGTGCACCTGGCTTAGTTTCAAGGACGATGGGTGAATGCGGCTCGTCCACGTCGACTGCGATATTGACATTCGCCCTATGACGAGAAAGAGAGATCAGCGATTATTTCTGAAGAACGAAGAGCCACAAACAGATGGCGTTCGTACTGAGATTCACTATGCAGTACCGGGCGTTGGAATGGGCAGTGGCAACGCACCAGGGTGACTTTCAAGACATTGAGCGGCTCGCGATAGAAAGTTTGCCTTGCTATACGGAGAGTCGTCAGCACGGACTAAGTTAACTACCCTCGAATCTGCCATCGTGATCGAAACTTACTTTGCTAGCTACTGCTGCGTGCGGCATTCTATTTGTTCAAGTCGGCTTGGTAGGGGATGGTTTCGATCTATGATAAACCATCAGTAGGTAGCTTATGGGGGTCCTTCATAACTCACTCTCTCACAACCTGGATTTATTATCGAGAGCATTCCATTTCCTTTGATTGAATTCCCAGAGGAACAGAGACGGGGCTGATATTAAACATCTTCCATGTTAGCATGGTCTCGAATTATTGGGCAACTAAACTTACCTCCCGTTTAAAGATTTTAGTGTCGAGCATAGGCGGACTAGGAGCGATACAACAGGTCAGTCCGATCGCAAGTACATCACAGTTCGGGGTCGGGTCAGTCCGTACTGGAGGAGAGTAGCTGGCAAGGTCGAGAAATGTTCGATATTCTTTGCTTAAGGATGACAAGGGGATGCTTGAGAACGACCGTTTTGCTGGCGAGAGTTCGGGTACTTATATCATTGCTTCCAACCCTTACTCTCGAGTCGATGTAATAATCCTTGCGAATTGTGAGGGTCTCAACACCGCTGATCCTCAGATTTCAGCTGGTTCAACATTTACCCATTGATCTGATGCAGTATTCGGAGGCATTGCGGCTTTTTCTTGATGATTGCGTATATGAAAAGCCCTTCCTCACTGTTGGCACCGTTTCAACACTCCCGGCGGTCCGCAGAAAGGCGCCGACGACACGTTTCAACATTCATCAACATGGGTCCCTACGTTAGTGCGACAGGAGGGGCGGCAAGTGGTCATGCCATGTCATTCCGCTCACCGATGATGAGCGTAATATTTTACTCGAAGAATGTCCCATCTCCAAATTATGCAAACATCAAGTTATAGATGCGCCTCTGGTTACGTGCTAGCTGAACCGCAAAGTTGTTAATGTTCATTCAGCCTTGATATCTACCTTATCACAGCAGAGTAAATTTTGCCTAAGCACATTTTACACGATAGCAGGCAAATACAAGTTATGGTGCGGCTTGGCCCTGTCCTGCACAAACTCTATATCAAAATTGCGCGGACCCACTCCTTCTGCACAGCTGATACGCGAATGAAAGCAATACTTACTGGGGCAGCGTGGCTCTCTAGGCTATCTCAAGACTGTTCTAGGCCTAGAATGATTGGACTAGGAGGGGAGTAGTACGAAGAGCCAGCTCATATGACGTGTATCCTTCTGCGTCGCCTGTTCTCTTCAGTAGGCCGTCCTGTGACTGATTTCCTCTTGAGAGGATTCTCCCACGAGCCGAACCCTCCCGAAATAAATCTCTTGTTCTCGGACCCCTAACTAGCCCTAGCTCTTGACATGAGCTAGCTGAAAATAATCTGTTTGACAGCGATGGGTGATCAGGTCACCGGTGGCGGCCACACCGCTCGGCAATCGCGCCGCGCTGCACATTAACATGTGG